AGGGCTTTCCAAGCACGTAGGGGCTTCATATCTTTAGAAGAGCATGCTCATTGCTTTGTAAATTACACACTTTTTATTATTATTTAATTATTTTAGAACATTTTAATTTTCTCCTCATATTGTCCATAATGGATTTTCTTTCGAGTGACAAAATTAGGCTATGAGCCAATGAGTTTTGAGAGCTATTCCGGACAACTCACAAACGACGAGATGGCTCATTCATCGATCTATGCTCACAATAGACAATTGTAAGTGTTTTTTAATCTATGCTCACAGCGAGCAAGTGTAAGTGTTTTTTAATTTCAAAGATTAAATATGAAAAGATAATATAAATTTTATTTTAATCTTTTTTTTAAGATATCATTTTTTTGATTACGTCTGGATTGTGTGGAGCAAATCATCAATGAGGCAATTGTAGCTCAAACGGCGATAGGAATCATGGAGCCGAAGTTGATCGGAATGCCATATACGTTGAGGCTATCGGGGAGAAGAAGAAAAGATTTTATGGTACGGGGAAATAGTTGGTGTATTATGTATCCTAGTAAGGTGGTAGCGAGCTTCTCCTCTACTACCTCACATTACACCGTCGACCCGGCTAACGAAAAGCTTCGGAGGGACTATGAGGCTATGAAGGAAGCGATGAAGGAGATGCGAGTGATATAAAATAAGCTCCAAAGCTAGATCTTAGAGCAACGAAGCCGGATCTCATAGCAACATCGGACTATTTATAGCTCGAAATCGCGAGTACGACTCGATGGCATCCTTAGTGATGCGACTAGCACAAACAATTGAGGTGCCTATAGATCCGTTGATCAATCAACGGTCTACCGTTCCTTTCACTCAGCCTTCCATTCAGCCTTCGATCGATTCTTCCATCGACCTCTCCATATAGTATCGGGAGAAGGATATGGGATTAGATCGAGCAGGATGAGTGATAGGGCATTTAGTCACTTTTTTTTTTTTTTATGAAACGTACTCTAGAATAGTATTGATAATATTATTTTATTTTTAATATATACATTATTACTTTTAATTATTAATTATTAAATATAATATTATTTATTATTTATTAAATGCAATGCAATATTAAAATTTACAAATTGTAATTTTTTTTTTGATGGAATAGCGAAGGAATAGTGACAAATTTATTTTCAAAATTAGTGATGGACTAGCGATGGAAGAGTGACAAATGCATTTTCAAAATTAGCGATCGAATGGTGATAAATACTTTTTCAAAAATTATGACAAAATAGCAACAGATTTTTGATAGCTATTTAGTGATGAAAATAGCTATGGAATAACTACGAACGAAATGAGAGATCCCTCGATGAGATTAGTGATGGATTTTTTTAGATTTGCGATAGAATTTTTCATTTCTAAAGTTACGATAGAATGGATTTTTTGTAGTAATAAAAATAGTGACAAGCGAAATAGCCACGACTAGTGTTGTCATTGCTATTATGTCACTAACCATAGTTAGTAATGAAATCTTGACAATTAGCAATAGAATATTCCATCGTTAATTGTCTTTTTTCGTAGTGCATGTAGTACGTGGCCTTATTATCAAGGACAGACCTACCCAAAAAATTAAATATGCAATATGTGGACTTATTGTTAAGGGTAGCTTACCTTAAAAATTAAATGTGCAACATATTGCCTTATTGTCAATGGCAACCTATCTTAAAAATTAAACTTGCAATACATGACCTTGATGCCAAGGGTAGCCTATCTTAAAAATTAAACATGTAGTACATGCCCTAGTTATCTAGGGTAGTCTATCCTAAAAATTAAACATGCAATACATTGCCTTATTGTCAAAGACAAACTATCATGAAAATTATATATGCAAATAGTTGTTGGGCAATTCTCCTTGAAAGTGATAGCCTATTATTAGGTGACCAAATATGAAGTGAGTTCATGGAATGTGTTTATTTTGATGTTCATAGTAAATTTTACTTTTCCTTTGGGGTTGTAATGTTCCCGAGACAAAACTTGGCATAGGGTTCAACTAATAATTACTTGTAGAAATATAGGTGCACGTTGAAAGCTCAACTCTTTATTTATTAGGTTTCTTAAACTAAATTGTACTAAGATTTCAATTTTTCTTTTGTCAAATTGCTTAATAAAGTCGTACATTTAAATGAATCTCTTAAAAAAATTCAGATTATTTGAAAGAAATATATAGATGTTCGATGAAAGTATTTTCATTCATAAAAGTGTTCAAATTAATTGATCAAAAATCAAAACACGATATTCAAATGCCATGATGCAATTTTCTCAAGAGGGTTTTGGGTTAAGTTGAAAAATGTGTTTGGATCACGCAAAGTTTATAAGAAAAATCATTTTTGATACTATGAAGACAAATCTTCAAATGATAAGTTTGTTTTGATTAATGAAGTAGGTTGAGTATAGAGTATTTCAAGAAAATTGATTTTAAAGGATAATTTTGCCCATAAATATCTTAATTCTATTTTTTTACCCCTAAGTTAGTTTGATGAAAACTTATGATTGGGTATCATAAAGAATGATGAATAACATACCAACTTGTTATGTTTTCTTAATTTTCTCAATTATCCTCCTTTTCTTTTGAGATTAGAATCCAACAACCTAAGCAATCGCCTTTGACCGAAAGGGCTTATAAAAGCACATAATATAGGCTATGGGTTAGGTTCATGAAAGAAAGATATAAAGGATCAAAAGGTGTTTAAGGATCGTATGACATAGGATCAATTTCATATTCATAACGATCTCTTTAAGATAATGCTATTTGGACTTTGTCACTTTAAAGATCATATGACATAGGATCAATGTTCTTGAGAAAAGTTTTTGGCTTGCCATAGTGGCTTTATCATTTTGAATGTCGACTTTGTTTCCTGGCCTTAACTCTCATTATTTGAAGTCATGGCTTCCATGATTTCATGGTTCATGGATTTAGGTCGAGTGGATACGGATGTGCACTTTTAGATACTCGACAAGTTTGAGCATATATAGACATATACTTTTAGATGCTTAGTATTGGACATGTGTAGACATGTGGATTCGGATGCTCGATAGATGGCCGGTGGGTACAATTATGTACTTTCGGATACTTGACAAGACGTGTCCAAAGAAAGATTAGATTTTTTTAGACAGGTCATGGAAATTGTGATGTCCATAGATAGAAAAGAGTTTTCAAAATGATCATGAAAAATGATTCCATGGCATGGGACAAGGATTTCAGAACAAACCTAAAAAACATTTTCTTTTTCATGTGCATTTCACTTGCACACATACATAGCATGCATGATTAAGTTATTGAGCAATCGCTCACTAAGTTTGGTTATGTAGGAACCAAAGATAAGGACTAATGGCGATGTTCTCATTTGAGCTATTTATTGAGTGGTCATGTCCATTTGTTTGTTGGATATATCTTACTTATAGATGTAAATTGGACTCCTTCATACTTGTGGTTTTTCTAGTATTGGGTATTTCGGCCTATGTTTTGGGTATGGCATATTTATTCTACATAATAGTAAAAGTTATGAACAAGTAAATGGTTAGCTAATGAAATAAAATAGTTTGCGAGATAAATAAAGCACTTTTATGGTATTATAGTAAAATATGGATAGGTTTTACAACCAAACTTTAGACATGTAGATGATAATGTAATAGTATAATGATGTGTTGTAATAGTATAGTGATATGTAGTAGAAGTAGTTTCCTTTAATAAATTATTTGGATGCTAATACATATGATAAATTGGACAATTAAGTGGCGACAAAAATAATAAGGAGAGAATCAAATTAATAAAAAGATAGGAATAATCCATCGAATAACAATTATAGACTAAAGGAATTTAATAAATTTACCCTAGCTTATAGAAAATGAATTAGGCAAAACCGATTGATACGGATCTAGTTAGTTTAGTTCAAGCTATTTAAGTAAAATGTTAAAATGAAAAAAATTTAACAATACATTTTGGGCTGAAATTTAGGACGTATTGGTTATTTAGTAGGCTTTCACGAGTATAACCATACCTAGTTATAGTATAGAAAAGTCACAATACCTTAGGACTTATTTGGCTTGTATTCAATGCACTCCAAATATAGGTCAACGATGATAATATTTTCAACCAATTTAGGTCCGAGGTTGAGGGTGTTACACTCGATACCAAGTTAAAGAAAGATAATATTTGAATAATCACTTGCAAGCTTAAAGGTGTTGTAGTGGTGTTTTGTATAGATATGCACATGTGATACAAAGAAAATTATACTAGATAATTCATAACACTTAACAACTAAAGACTAATAAATAAGCTAGATCTCTATTGATCTATTATCATACCGTAGTATAAGTCGTAGATTTTTCTTCTCTCGGTGAAGCCATGAATTATTCTAATAAAACAAAACATGTCATAGTAAGACAATTTGATTGAGAAAAAAATAAAAGCCCCAACTTTATCAACACTCAATTTTTCACCCCTATTATTTTTTTATTTTTTATTTTTATTGCAAAAATACCAAGAAAATAATAATAAAAAATAGAAAAAAAAAGAAATCAATTGAAACAAGTGGCTCATATTAGTTTTAAGGGCTAATTAAAAAAATATAAAGTTTTGAAATTAAAAAAAAAAGAAGATAATTGAGGGTACAATTAAAAAAAATCTAAAACCTCAGTTTCTTAGATAAAATAAAGAGGGGGCATAATTGTAAGAAATTTAATAGAAAATTCAAACAAATTGCAATATAAGGGTCGTATTGAAATTCAAACAATCAAAATCACACCTAAATTGAGAAATTTAAAGGAATTCAGGACCAAAATAGAATTTTGCCAAAAAACCCTAAAAACCACCTATAAATGAACTCCTCTCTCATTTTTTACACCATCCAATGTTCATCACCCTTAAAATTTTTCATACAGCCGACTCTCTCTACTGCAACAAAACTCCTCATCAACTCGAGCCTTACACGAGACAACCATCTCCCTTGCTAGCTCTAGCCACTCCCTTGCACGCCAAGCCCCTAGGCTAGTGAGCTCACTTGCCTCTCTAGCTTGATGCTAATCTCCCTCGCCAACTCATGCCCCTCCCTTGCTTGCCAGGTCTTCAGACTCGCGAGCTCACACGCCTTGCCAATCCCACACCAATCTCCCTCCCCTCCTTGAGCCTCACCCAAAATACCATCTCCCTTGCCAGCTCCAGCCCCTCCTTTGCATGATAGGCCACCAGGCTCGCGAGCTTGCTCACCTCGCCAACCCCATGCCAATCTCCCTCGCTAGCTCCAACCCCTCCCTCACATGCTAAGCGTCCTGGCCCATGAACTCGTATGCCTCGTCAGCCCCATGCCAAGCTCCCTTTCCAACTCAAACCACACTTGAAACCACCATCTCCCCACTAGATCTAGCCTCATCCGAAAAAATCCTTCCCTCTTTTTCAACCTCACCTGAAACAGCCAGCTCCTACGTCAAGCTCCCATGCCTCCACTCTCTCTCGTGCCAGGCCTTTTTTTGCTAGCCTCTTCCTCATCCAAAACTCCCTTGGCTAAAGCTCTCTCTCATACCCAAAACTCCTTCGCACACCTCACTCAAAAAAGCTAGCCTCTATGCCAAGCTCCCTCAGACGTCCAATATTCCTTTCCATAATAGCCCTTTTTGCTAGCTTCTTTCTTGCTTAAAATAATCTAACTGCCAACCATCACCCAGTACAACCACTACCCTAAAGCTATTATGAAATAACCACAAACTTGTGCAATGGTCTGATTGTTGATAGTAACACAAATTGGTTAACAATGAATGTAACTAAATAAAAAAGAAGAAGTTGTTATTTGATTGATTACGTTTGACAGAAACAACATAATGTTGTAGAATGGAATTGTTTTTGTTATTTATAGGAAAAACACAGCAACTAATTTGCTGCTAAGTCTTTTTAAGTTGCAGCAACATTGCTAGTTTTCAAATAAGCTGGAAACTTTCAGATATATTGTCAAATTTGCACATAACTTTGGCAAATTTGTAAAACATTTTTGGGTAAAACCTCTAAAATTATCATACCACGTTAAAATGAGAATGAAAAACATCACATTTCATTTATATATTCATTGTTTAAATATGACTGAAATGAATGTTGTTGATACTTCGATACAAGTTGCGCGTTTCTTCAGAACCTGGTCAATTTGCTAGAGGGTGATAGGGATCAAAATCTTTGGTTCTATTATTTCCCCAATATTATAGCTAACAATAGTTTACCGCACTTGTACATCTGTTATAGTTATCCTTTCCGATTGTTTTAGTATATAAGATATACTCTTGTACAGTGTTCTGAGTATGTGAGTTAATAAATCCCTTACATTTAGTTCCTTTGTTTGATGCGAAGGTTGTTCCTTTTTAGTGTAGAAATGGAGGTTTGTTATAATTATGGCTGATTTGATGTTCCTAAAAGGAGCATCTTGCTAGTTTTAAACCAATAATATAAATAGTATTTTTAACTTTAAAAAAATATCTTCTCTTCTTGTATACATTACTGAAAAAAACGTTCTTTCCATTTTCTTTCCTTTCATTTTAACTCATCCAAATGGAAGAAACGAGAGCAATTTTTCATTCGTCTTATTTTCTATCCTTTTTTACTTTCTTTACTCCCACCTTTCTTCGTTTCTCACAATTTTCCCAAACACAATGTTACACTTTATTTAAGAGGGTTGAAAGTGGAGGGAATGAAATAGGAGGGGTGAAAATGGGAGGGGGAATGGTATTTTCCTCTCTTTGGGAGAATGAGAGAAAATGATGAGAAAAAAAAAAAAAATGTCAAAGGCACCTATTCGAACAAGTAGGAGCTTTTATGAATTAAGGATCTCTCATTGGTGAGGTGGGCTATGATAGGGAATTTTTAATTTTCAATGTAAGTTTATCAAAAATAAATAAATAAAAGTTATTGAGTCGAACCTCCGGAATCAACACTAAGATTGTTCTTCTCAGCTTGTAGATGAAAATAATAATATATAAATTCCCTTAACAAAAAAAAAAAATAGATAAATTGAAACCCAACATTATACCGTATGAACTTTATTTATTTATTTCCAAGTGAAGCTAGTTTGATAGCTAAGGGGATATATTCCCTTCTTAGGGTGTAAGTTCAAATCTCGATTGAAGAATAAATATTTATGATTTTTCTTATATTATTGGCGTATATAATTTGTATTTGTATATTTGTATTTTTTTTATAGTGGTATGTAATTTGAAATTAGTTGGAATTGAGAAACGAATTTAAGATAAATAACTAAAATCTTGTTTCAGTACGCTATTTGGGGTAGAATGGTCCTTTTAATTTTTTGGCAGAACATTTTCTCATATTATAATCACACTTGTCCAGTTGGTATATCTTAATCAATATACAAATGATTCAGCAATCCCCTATTTAATTAGTTTGTTAGAGCATTTGTTTATATTAAGGTCATGGGTTGCTGATTTGTCAAAATCGCTTACGAGAGGGCATTATTTCCATACCTTAACAATATGGATCGTGGCTTTATACTAATCCCTTGAGTCTTGGGATCATAATCGTGTTGTATATAATTCCACTATGTCAGCAATAAACTTCAGGCTTTCTTTCTATAATTCCACTATGTCATGCACGTCTCTAGCTTGTCCAGTTTTAGAATCCATAGCTTCATTGAGTCTGCTTGATCAATTGCATAGGGAGTCTCAACTGATGTTATAATTTTAGCATCTAGCGCGACAAATGAAGCCAATTTTATATATTTATTTTCTTTTTGGTATTATTTTTGGACTTTCTTTCTGTAATTCCCTCGGATCCTCGTAATAGTTAACTTTTTCCAATGATTCATTTTAGCTTTCCATCAACAACAGAAAAAAAAAAAAAATCAATTTAGGATTGACCAAAATAAGAAATTCTACCTTCATATCTCATCATACTTCAAATATGGGATTCTATAATTTTAAAAAATAATAATAAATTTGAAGAATCAATCATTACAGCATAATTGATTCGCTATCTTATGACTTCAAATTTTCTTTTGGATATTTAAAAAATCATTTAGAATTCTAAAGTCAATAAAACTTTTGTATATCTTCGACGTACTAGATAAGACTATATGCTCTTCCACCAATTGGTTTTCTTATAATCAACCCTTTAAAGTGCACACTTAATTTTTATATTTTTGTGAGAAAAAAATAAAATAAAAATAATATAAAATCTTTACAAAAAATTAATAAAAGTTATATATATATATATATATATATATATATATATATATATATGTTATTGTGAATTTTTATTAAGTTTCAATCAATTACTTATAAAATCTTTATAAAAATTATATATCATCAATGAATGAAATTTCTTTCAGAATAAGTGTTTTTCAATTCTTTTACCAAGAATTTTGAATATAACAATAAATTTGAAGTTTTTACAAAAACCAACTATGAAGTCATTTATTAGAGCGACAACGCCTAACACTATATACCTTCGAGAATATAATCTTGAAATAGCTTCTCATTCACAATCAATGTAATCAATGAAGTAAAACAATTTTGCCATCCTCCATAAGTTCATATCATTTGATAAAAAATATCTGTTTTTCTACCACATGACGAGTGATATATAAGAAATGTAAAAAGGTAATTTACATGATTAGATTCGAGAGATAAATATCTTTAACTACACGAAATAAATAAAGACCACAAACTAGTAATTTTATTAATACTAAATTAATTGTTTAGCTAAGTGGTTCTACTCAAAATGTTAATAAATAAAGACCATGGAAACAAACTGAAATATAATAAAATATTTAATATTATGGCTAAATATTTTATCTTAACTTAATAATAACCATTATCCACACCATTGGTTAGGAAATCATTGAACAACAAATTGTTTTTCTAATTTAATCTAATAAAAGAAAAAAGTTTTATAACTCACTGTAGAGTATATAACTTTTTGGTTATAGAAAAATTACATGTATGCTTTTTTATTTAGTTGTAAATGCTTATAATAAAGAAGACTTTTCTTGTACCTTTACGCTTCAGACACAAAACATTGTAGATTGACGCTGTTCATGTATTGTGCATCTAAATTTAGATGCACTGCACTGCACTGCTCATTAGTGGTGCAATATAGCTAAGCTTGGAACATAAAGCTATAAAGTTTCTTTAAAAATTTTAAGCGATTTTTGTACCTACATTCAATCAGTCCTTTGATTTCGACATTGTATAACTTGGTACCTAATTTTTTTTGGCTTATATTTCATTAATTTCTTGATTTTCTTCAAAGTCTTACGGTCACCAACATGACGAAGTTTGCTTAATTAGTTGGTAAACTAAGGACATCTGGCCAATTAATTTTAGCTTTAAATCAACAGAATATTTCTTGTTCAATTTAGCATTGACAAAAATAAGAAATTCTACCTTAATATCTAATCATACTTCAAAGACGGGATTTTATTTATTTATTTATTTTAAAAAAAGGGTTCACATTATAAGATTGTTTCAACTTTCCGCAGCTAGTTGGATCTCCACACTTATAAATAGCCCAGGTTCGTTCTACTTCAAAGCATCCTTCCCTAGCCATTCACCTCTTCCTTCTTTCCATATCTCTTGTTGTTTGTTTTCTCTTCTCATTTTACTTGTCAATGGAAAGTGAACTCAAGGCATTGTGGGTGCTGTCTGTGGTGTTGCTGGTGTCAAACTGAGAACACTGGACTGATGGAATGTCCACGCCTCAAGTTCCTTGCTTTTTGTCTTTGGAGACTCCTTGTTTCATAATGGAAACAATAACTACCTTAACACACGAGTCAAAGTTAATTATCTACCTTACGGTATAGATTTTCCTACTGGTGCTACAGGAAGGTGTAGCAATGGTCTCAAAGTAGCCGATACCATTGGTCTCCAGTTTGCTCTCCTCTCTTCTAAGACAGCATAACAATTTCATTTTGTTTTACCTAACGAAACATTGATATTCTGTAATTATATTAAATTTTAAAATTGGCTAAGTCTGAATTTATTATTGAAGAAAATGACTTATTCATACCAATTTTAAAGTGTCTATAGCTTGTAACTCAATCACCATCCAATTTTTACTTCTTCTAAGAGATTTGGGTTCAAATCTTTTTATTTACATAAAAGTAAGTATATAATCGTACAATTATTGAACTAACTTATTGTTGTTTGGTTTCAGCTGAACAATTAGGCTTCGATAGTTTCATTACGGACTTTGCTAGTGGACGTTTCACTAATGTCCAAAATGGTTTAAATTATGGATCCAATGGAGCTGGAATTCTTGATTCAACAGGAAATCCGGTGATTACTGTTCATATGGCTCACATATCTATATTTAAATTATGTTTGATGATGGAAATCATAACAAATATATTTAGGCCTAATAGTTGCAGTGGTCTCTCTAATCTTTTTTTTTTTTTAATTTAAGTTTATCATTTATCATTTTACATTTGGTATTTGTTTTAACTTTGTCATTCTATATTACCTTTTTGACTAACGGAAATAAGTTTTTAAATCTATTTTTATTTCATTCTTCCACTCAATTCTTTTCATCCTAATATTCTTTTTATTACTAAATTTAAATAAATGAAATTAATTAAAAAAATTAAAATATATCTGATCATTCTGTTTAAAAATAAAAAATAAAAAATTTGAATATAAAAATATATATATTTTTATTCCAAAT